CTTCAACCCAAAAAAAAAAAAAAAAAAGAATGGAGGAGGAGGCCGGGTGCGGTGCCTCTTGCCTGTAATTCCAAAACCTTGGGTGGCTGAGGTGATAGGATTGCTTAGCCTAGGAGTCTGAGACCAGCCTGGGCAACATAGTGAGACCCTTCCCTTAAAAATACAATAAAATAAGAAAAAAGAAAGGAGGAAGGAGGCCTGGGATGCCTTTCCCTCCTACCACCAAGTTTTAACTGAGGGTCACCACTTTAGTCACAGGAGATCAGTTTTTTTCTTTTTCTTTTTTTGAGCTGGAGTCTCACTCTGTCGCCCAGGCTGGAATGCAGTGGCACGATCATGGTCACCACCACCTCGACCTGCTGAGCTCCCTCAATCCTTCAGCTTCAGCCTTTCCAGTAGCTGGAACTACAGGCACACACCGCCACGCCTAGCTAGTTTTTGTGATTTATTGTAGAGACGAGGTCTCACCAAGTTGCCCAGGCTGGTCTGGAACCCCTGGGCTCCCAAAGTGCTGAGATTACAGGCTGAACCGCTGTGCCCAGCAGGAGACCAGTTTCCTGTGCTCTCCCACCAACATCAAAATCCCAGCAGCTTTGGGCCTGTTGTAAGAGCAGTCTGCCCATTACGTAGGTGGTAAACCGAAGCCTAGGGAGAGTGCGGCACTCACCTTAAAGATGTACATGCTCTGCACCACCACGGGCTTCTGGAGGCCCAGGCTTCTGGCCAAAGCCTGGGGGAAGGGCAGAGGTCACACCACCAGCCTGCCCCCAGCACGCGGCCTGCCCTGGCCATTGCCTGTCCTCTGCTTACCTGCATCTTGGGGGCGTGTGTGATGGTCCTGAAGACAGGGTCGTGGGCGTGCAGAGCTGCAGGAGAAGAGGCAGGCTGACGGGCCAGTCCCAGGCACACGTGTCCCTCCCATACTGGCCTGGGCACCCAGACCCGGCCTTCCCTTTGACATTCTTTTTCTTTTTTTTTTTTTTTTGAGTTGGAGTCTCACTCTGTCACCCAGACTGGAGTGCAGTGGCTGCTCCCGGCCACCGCAGCCTCGACCTGCTGGGCTCCGGTGATCCTTCCGCCTCAGCCTTCCAAGTAGCTGGAATTACAGGCATGCGCTACCACGCCCAGCTGATTTTTTGATTTATTGCAGAGATGAGGTCTCGCTGCCCAGGCGGGTCTCGAACCCACGGGCTCAGGCAGTCCACTCACCTCAGCCTCCCAAAGGCGCGGGATTACAGGCTCAGCCACCGAGCCCGGCTCCCCTTGACATTCTTACCGACTTTGTGTGCATTAAACCTGCCTGTTTATAACCGAGTCCTGAGCCCCACTGCTGTCTTCACCCCACACCAAGCCCCATGCCACCCATGACTTCTTTTTTTTTTTTTGAGTTGGAGTCTCACTCGGTCGCAGCCTCGCCTCCTGGGCTCCGGAGATCCTTCCAAGTAGCCGGAATTATAGGCATGCGCTCCCACACCCGGCTGATTTTTTGATTTATTGTAGAGATGAGGTCTCGCTGCCCAGGCGGGTCTTGAACCCACGACTTCATCTTTTTTTTTGAGTCAGGGTCTCACTCTGTTGCCCAGGCTGGAGTGCAGTGGCATGATCACAGCCCACCGTAGCCTCGACCTGCTGGGCTCAGGGGATCCTCCCATCTCAGCCTCCCAAGTAGCTGGGACTACAGGCACATGCCACCAGGCCTGGCTAACTTTTTATTGTTTTGTAGAGAGGAGGTATTACTATGTTGCCCAAGCTGGTCTCGAACACCTGGCCTTAAGTAATCCTCCCACCTCAGCCTCCCAAAGTGTTGAAATTACAGACGTGAGCCACCGTCCCTGGCAGTGACCTCATTCTTGACCTTCTGGCCCTCTGAGAAGCTCACTTCAGCTCTGACTCCCCAACCCTCCCAGAGGACTAAGGTTTCAAGGGGCCTGTCCCTTGGTTATCCGAGCACTACCACTTACTCTGTGTGACCTCAGGTGGCCATTTCTCTCCTATAAGCCTCAGTTTTCTCCTCTGTCAAACAGGGAAGAGACAAACAGCCCCACCCCCGAGGGTCAGTGAGTGTGCAGTTATAACCCACGGCCTGGCATGAGATGGCTGCCCATTGTCAATATTTGCTATTATTACGAAAGGTGAGGTTCGCATGTACTTAATGCCACTGAACTCTAGATTTTAAAATGGTTATGATGGTAAATTTTGTGTTATGTGTATTTTACCACACTTGTTTACAAGGCTACCCTAATATAATTTTAAGTTTAGAAATAAGCATTGGCTGGGCACAGTGGCTCACGCCTATGTTCCCAATACTTGGGGAGGCCGAGGTGAGAGGATTACCTGAGCCCGTGGGTTCAAGACCAGCCTGAGCAACTTGGCAAGACTGCGTCTCTAAAATAAATCAAAAAATTAAGCCGGGCTCGGTGGCTCAGCCTATAATCCCGCGCTTTGGGAGGCTGAGGTGAGTGGATTGCCTGAGCCCACCGGTTTGAGACCAGCCCGGGCAACTTGGCAAGACTGCGTCTCTACAATAAATAAAAAATCAGCCGGGCATGGTAGCGCGTGCCTGTAGTTCCAGCTACTTGGAAGGCTGAGGCGGAAGGATCGCCGGAGCCCAGGAGGTCGAGGCTGCGGTGGCCGGGAGCGGCCACTGCACTCTAGTCTGGGCAACAGAGTGAGACTCCACTCAAAAAAAAATTAAAAATAAATAAATAAAAACAGGATTTCCTGACATGGCTTTGGGGTAGCCTCAAAGGAGGCTACAGGGAGCATTGGACCCAGGAGCTCCCCCATGCCTGGGGCCTGGGTCACCCTCAGGCCAGATGGTAGAGAGTGGGGGAGGCAGCATGTGCCCATCTGTGGGGGACCCTCCTCTAGCCAGTGCCCGCGGTGGCAGCGTCATCTGAGTAGTGTCGTGAGGTGGGGAAGCCCAAGACCAGAGAAGCCTGCAGTCAGAAATGCCGTTTGCCCAACCACTAACTCCCTAGGGGCCTTGATTAAGGCTCCTCAGCAGTTCAGCCCTCAATCTCCCCATTTTCTCTGCTGCACCCCAGGCCCCTTTCTCACCATGGGCGATTTTGTTGATGGACTTCTCTGGAGGGACCAGGAAATTTCCTGTGGCACAAAGAACAGGCAAAGGCAGAAAAACCAGAGTCCGGTCTCTCACAGGCAGCTGGCCTTATTGTTCCAGTCCTGGGGGGCAGCCCACCCCCACAGTCCCCCCGCACCCCTAGGTCCCCAGCTCCAAACCTTGACTGTCAAAAACACCCTTCTCAAAGAAGAATCGAATCTTGTCCCCACTGCTCAAGAAATAGTCTGTGCTGCCCTGAAGAAAGGGGACATCGGAGACACTGAGAGAGCATTCTGGGGTCTGAAACCAGGCATGGTGGCTCACGCCTGTAACCCCAACACTTTGGGAAGCCCAGGCGGGAGGGTCACTCAAGACCAGGAGTTCAAGACCAGCCTGGGTAACGTAGTGAGGCCCATCTCTAAAAAATAAAATAAAATAATTAGCTGGGCGTGGTGGTGCATACCTGCAATCTCAGGTCCTCTGGAGGCTAAGGCGAGAGGATCACCTGAGCCCAGGAGGTCAAAGCTGCATTGAGCCTTAATCATGCCACAGCACTCCAGCCTGAACAAGATCACAAGATTAAAAAAAGAGAGAGAGAGAGAGCTGGGCCTGGCACAGGGGGAAGAGGATTCAGATGCTCCTCACCCCTACAAGGCTATAGGCTCCCAAGGGGGCTTCTCAAACTCTGAGGCACAGTGGGTGAACCGGAACCCAAGGGGCCCAGAAGCCCAGCTCAAAGAGGCAAACATGGAATTTCCTGGACACCGCTTAAAATTGTGATTCGGAACACAGTTGCTAGAATCAAACAGGGCTGGTTCCCAAGTAGTTTTTTGAGCCCCTGGTTTACTTCTTGAAGCTTTGATTTCCTCATCTGTAAAAGAGGAATAATAATAGAACTGACCTCTTGGAATTACCAGAGGCGTCAGCTTGAAGTTGAATTTTTTTTTTTTAAACAGTGGGGATCTCACTGTTGTCTAGGCTGGAGTGCGGTGGCACGATCGTGGCAGCTGCAACTTCCTGGGTTCAGGCGATCCTTCAGCCTCAGCCTCCGGAGCAGTGGGGACTATAGGCATGCACCACCACACCCAGCTAGCTTTTTGACTTATTGTAGAGATGAGGTCTTGCCATATTGCCCAGGCTGGTCTTGAACCCATGAGCTCAGGCAATCTTGCCTCTGCCTCCCAAAGTGCTGGGATTACAGGTGTGAGCCACCACACTCGGCAAGACTTGCTATCTTATTTATTTATTTATTTATTTATTTATTTAAAAAGCAGGATTGGCCGGGTTCAGTGGCTCAGCCTGTAATCCCGCGCCTTTGGGAGGCTGAGGTGAGTGGA